ATCCTTCCGAGGTTGCTAAAATGAGGACCCAGTCCTAAGTATACTGCTTAGAGAGGGCTGTAAAGCACTGTGAAGCGGTATATAAGTCTAAGTGCTATTAATATGTAACAGTACAAAAGAGCAACAAAGATGATTAGGAGACTGGAGGCTAAAACATATAAGGAATGGTTGCAGAAATTGGGTATGTCTAGTTTAATGAAGAGAAGGACGAGAGGGGACATGATAGCAGTGTTCCAATATCTCAGGGGCTGCCACAAAGAAGAGGGAGTCAAGCTGTTCTCCAAAGCGCCTGAAGGCAGGACAAGAAGCAATGGATGGAAACTAATCAAGGAGAGAAACAACCTAGAACTAAGGAGAAACTTCCTGACAGTTAGAACAATTAACCAGTGGAACAACCTACCTCCAGAAGCGGTGAATGCTCCAACACTGGAAGTTTTTAAGAAGAGACTGGACAGCCATTTGTCCAATATGATGTATGGTTTCCTGCCTGAGCAGGGGATTGGACTCAATGACCTCCAAGATCCTTCCAACTTTATTATTGTTGTTGTTGTTTTGTTGTTGTTGTTGTAGTATATAAAAAGTGTGTTTCTCTGTGTATGTATATATAAATATATAAATATTTGTATTCTAAGGGCTATTTTTCAAGTCTTAAGGATATTTTAAGGTGGCAAACATACATAATACGCCCTCCTCGTCTTATTTTCCCACAACAATCCTGTGAGGTGGTTTGGACTGAAAGAGAGCGACTGGCCCAAAGCCATCTAAACAACTTTTACTAGATGAGGGTGATCTCCTGGTTTCTCGGCCAGCATCTTAACCACTACAGCAAACTGGCTCACATCACACAAATTGAGCACCAAGCATGAAAAAGGAAGAATCTTAGTAAAAGTGGGTCACTTTCACTTTAATATGAATATAATAAAAAGTTTATAAAACTAGGAAAAGGCAGCATACTTTATGTGGTCTAATTAATTATAACACTAAAAACAGTCTCAGGTAAAAAAAATGATATACACAAACAATAATGCTAAGAATATAATTATTTATCATCAAGAATAGAATAGAATAGAATAGAATAGAATAGAATAGAATAGAATAGAATAGAATAGAATAGAATAGAATAGAAGATGATTGTAAGATGATTGAATATATACAGTGTACGGAGCGATGAAAGCTCAGCTTAGATTGGCTGATAGAATGATTCAGATTCTACACAATTTTAAGAGGATTACTAAGCAGGATTTTCCCTTATCACCTTTATTATTCAACCTAGCTATAGAAGCACTGACAATAGCATTTAGATACAATAATCAGATTTATAGGATAACATTTAGAGCCAAGACGTATTTTATAAATCTATTTGCAAATAACATGGCTCTGACCATCTCAATGCTTTCCATTCAGCTATTTATATTAAGAAGTTGGAGGAATTTGCAGAGGTGTCAGGACTACCAATTAATTTTTACAAACCACATATGATATTTTTTCATATAGTCCCCCCAAATTCAAAAGGAACTTTCTACATTTTTAAGCATTCCAATAGTATATAAATCTTTAAAATGTTTAGGCATCACTATTAATAATATAAATAAAATTTTTACTATTAATTACAGGACAACATGGAAAAATTAGATAGGGAAATAAAAAATGGACTTTAAAACCTTTTTAACATTTTAAGGCAAACCGCAGTGGTAAAAATGAAAATCCTTGCATAGCTGAACTTTCTATTTCAATGCCCCCCAGTGGAAATTCCAGAACAGACTTTAAGAGGCTGGCAAAAATAAACAAACCAAAAGGATTCTGCTTTTATACAAAAAAAATGACAATATGTAAAAAGATTTTATACAAACCGCAGGCCAGGTCATGCCCAATTTGGTAATATATTATCAAACAGCACAGTTAGTGCATATGTTTTCATTTATTGTGGAAGACTCTTCTAAACAAGGGATCCATATTGAAACTATGTTAGAGCCTGATACATTTATAAGTCAATGTATTTTTCACCCAAAATATTTTTCTAGAATAAATACATTGAAAATGTTTTCACTAAAATGATATTTCAAATTTGGAAGACTAAGTACATAGCTCTGATAAAGGATTTTGCTCCTTTAATCTACATATTTCTAAAACTCTCATATCTGTATTCTTTTAACTGGCAAACAATGCAACTTAGGGAAAAACAGATATGATTATTATCAAGCTAAATTGCACAGTGAGGATACCTTGAGTATTTTAAGCTATGCCATGTAAAAGGAATATCAAGAGGTATAGGTAGTCCTCAACTTACGCCCATTCATTTAGCAACTGTTCAGAGTTATGACAGCATTGAAGAAAGCGACAGTGGCAAAAAATGTCATAAAATCATGAAGCCTCGTTGCTGCAGCAAAGCTAGCTACCCCAGCGCCACAAAGCCCCAGTGCCGTGTTGTGGTTCAAAGCTCAATTGCTATACCATGGGCAGCCACCCCAATGCCACAATATAAAGTCCAAGCCACTCCAGCCCCAGGGTTGAAGACAAGTTTCCGCAAGAAACCCCAACACCACAACACGGTAATCAAACCGATGAAGAGCTCAGGGTGAAAAGTCAGCTGGGCGGCATCGGGAAATTGGGTAGAGCAACAGCAGGAGAGGTGATAATTGTGGGTGGGCCCAATTTTTTATTCCACAAAAGAGGTTCTACAAAGCTCATTAGTTCAACACCTGTCTTAAGTCCATTTGTAAACCAATAGAATTTAATAGAAAATGCTTAGCCCTTACTTGTCTATAGCAAATCAAATATTAAATTGATTCGTTTTTCTTTCCTTCAATCAAGTCAGATCCTTGGAGACTGCTTGGACAAGTCCCAGCAGTTTTCTTGGCAAGGTTTTTTTGCAGATGTGGCTGCCATTGCCTCTTTCCTAGGGTGAGAGAGAGTCACCAGCTGGCTTTGGGCCTAAGATGGGACTAGAAATCACACTCTCCTGGTTTCTAATCTCATATCTTAACCACTACAAACTTCACTCTAAATTTTAATAAAAATAGCTGCTACAAAAGAATGTTTATTAAAATACACGATGCAATCAGGCTGTACTTAAAGGATTCTTCACAATTATTTAAACTAATGTCAAATACACCCTACCATACTAGGGAACTTTCTTGGCCTCTAAAATTAATAACTTGCACAATAAAAGAAAGAACCCAATTAACCTCACACTTCACTAATAAGAATAAATTCTTATTCCAGTAAGTTTTTATTAGCACTCCTTCCAAACAAAATTCTTCAAATTGATGGCTAATTGAAACAGAACAATACAGATTGCTTCACAAATAGCTCTCTATGTGATAATTTTCACATGCAATGGCAGATTTAAAAGGTTGAAATAAAAAACCCCTACATTTACAGCAGAGTTACTTCACATTAACACTTAGTGAAGCAGTTTCATGTCTTCCCTTCCACAGTGGACTGCATGCATTCCTGCCCTGACAGAATAAGGTATGTAGGTCACTGCTATTATTTTTATTTATTCAGAATATACAATGCAAGAACTTTCACAAATAGCTGATTTGGATTTCCCAGTCATGAAACTAAGAAGCGTCATACCGAGTTCCAGTCTTCCTTCTAGCTTTCAATTTAGAATTCAGTAATTAGTGCCATTAGTTTACTCAGCCAAGACTACTAGATCCACTTTTTTCTCCACTGAGCTAACCAGAACATCTATTATTGCTTCTACCCTGGAGAACTTATGGCAAGGCATAATAAACAGAAGATAATGAAGAGAAAACGTAGCTATATAATCAAGTATCACAATAAGAATCTCTCCATTACAATCACATAACAGTATCTTCCATTCTAAAGGTGACACAGTGACAACCTTTCACTGGTAATGTGACCAATTACTACAACTGGACATTAGACAGTTATTTTCTTATCTATAGAGAGAACATTTCAGAAAATACAGACAACTCGCCAAGGATTTACAATATAAATTGATGGTAAAGTACTTAAGACCAACGTATTTACTATATTAATTAAATGGTCTATTTAACATGGAATATCAATCCTCTAATCACATCTCATTTAAAGTTATTTCAATTAACAACTCTAAAGTACACCAGCACAGACCCTACTGTTCTAGGCTCATTAACATCATTTTCATTATCTGTCAAATCAGGGAGTAAAAGGCAGAAACTATAAACACTCTCTAGAGTAGCCCCCTTTCCTACTTAAGAGATTATTAGGAGAACAAGCTGCACTATTTCTCATTAGCTGCTGAGTTTGGGGGGGGGGGGAGAGACTTGCCATGCACTGAAACAATAGATGGAATCGGTAAACGGACAGTTTTTCATGCATTCAAGGGTAATCTGTCCTTAGTCAAACAAAATCAATCTAAATTGTTGATGAGGCATCTAAAGCAAATTGAGTTATAGGATGAAGAAGAGCTGAGCACAGAAGATTTAAATACATCATGAGTATGGATGTTAGAATCTATCAAATGTTATTCTTACAAGAAAAAAGCACTTTCAATTTGCTTGGTCTAGTGCAGGGGTAGGCAACCTTGGCTCTTTTATGATTCGTGGACTTCAACTCCCAGAATTCCTGAGCATAGCTCAGGAGTTGAAGTCCAAGTCATAAAAGAGCCAAGGTTTCCTATCCCTGGTCTAGTGGTTAAGATACCGGGCTAGAAACCAGGAGACTATGAGTTCTAGTCCCGCCTTAGTCATGAAAGTCAGCTGGGGATTTAGGGCCAGTCATTCCCTCTCAGCCCAACTCACCTCACAGGGTTGTTCCCGTGGAGAATATAGGAGGAGAAAGGACTATTAGGTATGTTCGCCATCTATTTATAAAAATAAGTAAGTTGGGATTCTTTTAAAAACTAAAATAAATAAATTTTTAAAATTTAACTAATAGATTATTCTTCATACGCTGTGCATTTTTACAAACATAAATGTCAAGAAACACAAGACAACGATAATCTTAAAATATCAGATTAAAGCAATGTATAAAGTAACATGAATTTTTACCTGTATATTCGCTAGTGAAGACAACAAAGAAAGGAGTCACAAGATCATTTATGCCCTGAACATATCCACTGGCTGGATGACGTATTGCCCAGATAAACAAAATTCTTTCAAAAATCTAGGGGGGAAAATATAAGGAACCAAAATGTAATTATGGCAGAAGGCACTTATATCCGAAATTCAAATACTGGATATGTTGAAAACGGGTTCTTCCTTTGAGGCTCTCATGCAATGGAAACCACCTCTAAGAAGATACATTTGGCTACCATGTTTTGATACTCGGAAGAAGGGTAGAAAATGTGTCTCTTTCACCAACCTTTAACAGATTTTAATGATACAGGATGTAATTTTGATTTTAATTATGTTATTTTTGTTATATATTATAATTTGCAATTTCTTAATTATTGGAAGCCACCTTGCATGTTTATAGGAGCAGAAATATAAATATTAACTAAAAATAGAAAATAAATAGCTAGATGATGAATGAGGAATCTCAATGAACCTACTTAAGATCTCAGTTAGCCAAGTTAGCACCAAGATATTAGTGATGTTGTTAAAACACATTACAATAAAAATGCAAGAACCATGCCTAACTCTTGGAAAATAACATTTATAACAGAATTTATATAGCATTGATATACAATGTTCAGCTAACAAAACTGAATTAGCCATTATATACTGTACTTTCATGTAGATTCCATATATAAATATTTGCTGAATTTGAACAAAGAGATAACAGCAGCAAAATCAGCTAATTCCAGCCTTTTTAGAGAATATTAAAATAAGAAATATAAAGCAGTAAGAATTAAATAGCTTGAAGAAAAATACATTTTTTTAAAAAAAATCGATGTCCATGAAAGCATATTCATATACATAAATGTATATATTAATATTCCTTTATCAGAGCTGCACATCAAGACCCATGAGTCTTGTAAACAATCTTTGTAGCTGTAATACTGACGTTCTTATATGCCCAATTATGGAGGAATATTTCAAATCGAGGGCTGCTGTAAATGATTCTTTGTTTGTAGATGTTTTGGGAAGCTCTCTAGCATTCATGTATACTTATTCTAATTAACATAGTACAAACTTTACATATTGAGATCATTGAGATGTATTATGTTATAGGATTAACATCAAGGCTCTTGCAGATTTTTTTCCCCTGCCCTATAATCTGAGATTACTCGTTTCTTGTGAATATCATTAGGGCAATGTAGTAGACCGAGCTAAAGAAATTCTTGATATACTCTAAAAATCTTAGTTTAAAAATGGAGCTTACATAATCTGAATCCCTTGCTAATCATGCAATTAAAAAAAGATGAACGAACAAAAAAGAGGGGGGGGACAATGAGGGGGAAAGGAAGAAGTGACTCCAAGTCCCTTTTAGAGATTCTGGATCTGTTTATGCTAAATAAATCTTCAGTAATGGGATTATTAGGATGAGAATAAGCATTTATCTTCCCTCCAAATTAACTTTACCCACTCTTTTTCTAGGATACTGAAAGGTAAGGTGACAATGACGTTAAGAGTTTAATTTCATGAGACATGCATCTGGGCTTCCAGATACACATACATTCTTGTATAATAATAATAATAATAATAATAATAATAATAATAATAATAATAATAATAATAATAATAATAATAATAATAATAATAATAATAATAATAATAATAATAATAATAATAAAGTTGGAAGGGACCTTGGAAGTCATCTGGTCCAACCCCCTGCTCAGGCAGAAAACCCTATACCATTTCTGACAAATGGCTGTCCAGTCTCTTCTTAAAAACTTCCAGTGTTGGAGCATTCACAGCTTCTGGAGGCAGGTTGTTCCACTGATTAATTGTTCTGTCAGAAAATTTCTCCTTAGTTTTTCTCTCTTTGGTTAGTTTCCATCCATTGCTTCTTGTCCTGCCTTCAAGTGCTTTGGAGAATAACCTGACTCCCTCTTCTTTGTGGCAGCCCCTGAGATTTTGGAACACTGCTATCATGTCACCCCTCGTCCATCTCTTCAGTAGACTAGACATACCCAATTCCAGCAACCGTTCCTTATATGTTTTAGCCTCCAGTCCCCTGATCATCTTTGTTTGAGGTCATGCAAATACAACTGAGTCACCTAGTTCAGACCCTCATGAATATACTGTAGTGCAGACCTAGATTGATAAGATTCAAAACTAAGTGAGATGTTACAGCAACTTCTTGCTTGAATGAAAGCACAACTCTCAGCACAATCTAAAGCCGATTTTATTACTGAGGAGAGCTGCATGCTTGCTACAGACTTTGAAGCCTTCCACATTTTCAATTAAACAATACAATAATTAATATTGGCAAAGCATACACATTCAATAAACATTGCTTATAAAGAAATACCTTTTTCAACACAGCATATCTGACCGATATATTCTAACTCCCAAAACACAATTGAAGAATCTTAGGGTTATACTTGCCTCTGTTACTTTGGACTGAAGAATTAAAGCGTCTGGACTCATGCGAGGAATATCTATATGAATCTGTAAGAGAAGCATTTAAATTCAGAAACCTTCAAAACCTACTAGCAGATTCAAGTCAGACGTGATATTGCAGGTTTCACCTTTCAAAAAACACTTCACCTTTAGCTTTCTAAGAGCCTTATCTTTTAGAAAGCTTTATAATGTACACTTATAATTAGTTCAGTATTATGAGTGGTAGCTTATATATTATTTTCTGTTTAAAAATTCTCTGCATGCAGGCACAAAGTATGGTATGATCTATGATTGCATACCGTTTAATCACCACGATAAACTCATGACATCCTTGACATTTTATTTAATCAGTTAATAGAACAAAAACCATCAGTTACACCAGAGGTAGTCAACCTTGGCTCTTTTATGACTCGTGGACTTCAATTCCCAGAATTCCTGAGCCAGCTTAGCTGGCTCAGGAATTTTGGGAATTGAAGTCCACGAGTCATAAAAGAGCCAAGGTTGATTACCCCTGAGTTACACCAACACCCTCAAAATGAAGACAAACAATAAGACACAGGAAACAATTTATGCAGATGATTTTCATAGCAATCTTTGGCTAAGAAGATATTTTTTAAATTGTTTTACAAAAGTAGGCTAGCTTTCCAGAAGAGAGGAATCCCTTCAAAAAAAAAAAAAGAAATTACAGACATCCGAATGATCTATTCGTCCAAATTAAGAGGGGGAAATTATATTTATTTTTTAATCCACTGTATACAACTACCATACTCCGAGACCGCCTTCTGCCACAGATTTCCTCCCATAGACTGGTACGCTCCCACAGAGTGGGTCTCCTCAGGGTGCCGTCGGCCAAACAATGTCGGCTGGCGACCCCCAGGGGGAGGGCCTTCTCTGTGGGTGCCCCCACCCTCTGGAACGAACTACCCCCCGAGATCCGGACGATTCCGGATCTCCTTACTTTCCGCC